CGGGGGAGTTAGAGGAGGCAGGTGTTACAGGAGATGGGAGAGGCAATCTCTCACACACACACACACACACACACACACACACACACACACACACACACATGCACGTACGCACGCACAGATCTTGAGACTGGCACTGCAGCTGGGAGGGGACAGTGATCCCCCAGTTTCCAGGCTGATCTTTGTTTGGGCACAAGGTCTCGGCTTTGTAGAAGCACAGGAGCATGCTCAGGGTCCCAGGTTTCAAGCCGTGGTCTCCATTCCTCTCTCTGATCTTCCACTGCCCCGAGATCTGCCTTCTCCCTGAGCGACAATTAGTTCACTGGCCCAAAGATGGTCCGCCCACCTCCAGATTCCCCAGACACAGAACAGATGGAAAAGCTTTCACTCAATATGCAATTCACTTTGTTTTCTGAGCTTTCTCCCCATCTATGGCTTCCAAATATGAAATCTGCTCAGGGGCCCAGAGATGTGCAGGACAGGACCGCTACAGAGAGGGGAAGGGAAGAAGGCAGCATCCCCCGGAACCAGGTCCCGGACTTGGAGAGGCATAACCCTGAACTTTCCCAGACTTAGGCTCTGTCTGCCTCAGCAAACCTGGCATTGAACCCTGCTGGCACTTCATTTCAAAGGACCCCAGTGAGGGAAGGAGAGGAGGAAATATGGACAGGAAAGAAAGCAAAGAAATTCCTGTCATCCTCTTCTCAAAGCCGGTCAAGGTGCTTTCATGCCGCAGATTTTGCGAGGTTCTCCACCTGGCCTCTGATGTTTGGATGCTCAGACTCAACTCGTGTTTTTCCAGCCCTTCCTGTGTGCCAGGAGCTGCCTCAGGCTTTTTATGACATTACCCTCTGTGGCCCTCACCAATCCCCAAGGGACTATGCATTAGCCACACACACACACACACACACACACACACACACACACCCATTTTTTAGATGAAGAGCCTGAGACCTAGAGTTTAAGTGACCTTCCCAAAGCCACAGAGGTCCTACGTGATGGAGAGAGGATCAGAGCCTGGGCCTCCCTCTTCCCTCCACTGTGAGGATGTGTGCAGGATCCCAGCATTGCTAGCTGAGGACAAACCAGAGAGAGCAAACTAAGCATGCAGGCCCCTCACAGCCTCCCAGAGCAGGCTGATGGGGAGAAGGGCCAGCCAGCATTTGGTGGGCCATCAGTCTAGCCATCTGTCGCATCACAGAAGCAAACTGTGCCTTCTGGCTACGCGCTCCATGTTCCTAAAATCACAGAAGTCCAACAGCACTAGTGAGAGAGTGGGCCTGCCTGCGGGACTCTGTCCCTGCTCCTCCTCCCACCTGGGAGCCTGAGTCATCCTAGCTCAGATGCAGCCACCTGTCAAGTGGGACCTTGTGTCGATTCTCAGAGGACCAACCTGAGAGGTCTGAGGTGGCATTCCCTGCAGGACCCCCAGCGACTCTTTTGCCAGTGTCCTTGGCAAATCCCCGCCATTCTCGGTCCCCTGCTCCCTCTTTCATGCTTTCTCCCTTGGCTTGCTTTGTGGCCACTGAACCATTCACTTTGTATGCTATGCTCCTCCTCAGATGGAAAACAAAGACAAGTATAACTTATTTTATATCTATGTTCAGACTCTATAGAGAATATTCTATGTATCTCAGATGTGCTCACTACTGTAGTGTGTCTGTCATTAGTATTCACGTTAATACAGCACCTTTATCCTTTGTACCCTCTTGGCCATAGAGTGTCATTCCGCGGAAGGCCGACAGAGAGGGGCTGGGTTCTCTCCTTGGATTCCTGGTGGCATCTTCCGCAGAGGACCGGGCTGCCCATAGCAGCATCCACACATGACATCCCCTTGACCTGGTGCCTCTCCAGGCACAGTGACTACCCAGGCTGCTCTGGTGGAACCACCGCTCCCTGCCATTCTGGATTGGAGATGGTCCCCAAGCCACTGCATCCACACATTTTTCATTCTCACAAAATGAGGGACAAAGGAAGGCCAAGGCAAAGAGCTGTAGCCGCCTCTAACTCGAGTGCCCAGCCCAGCCGAGAGATCATTTCTCAGCTCTGTGTCCTTCTTTGATCTAAAGGAGAAATAGCAAAGAGACAGCAGAGGGAAATGAAGTTTCTGTCTCTTCATTTTAGAAAAAAAGGGGTGTCTGTTAGTCCCCTCACCCACCACCCCTTGGACACACACACCACCTTCCTGCCCTACCTCTCCCCGCCTCTCTTTCCTCCCTTCTCCGAGACTCCAACCCAGAGAGAGCTGTGAGGCCTGGGAACTCTGTGTTGGCATTTTCCCCTCTCCTGAGAAAGAGGAAGTGGTGCTTGAGGCTCTTCTCAGTGGCTGAGGGGACAGTGGAAGGACACTTTCTCTGGGACTGTCCCTCTGGCTCTTGCTGCCTCAGCCTCTTGACCTCTTGCAGGCTCCAGGGGTCTGGGCAGATCTCATGCCTCAGCCTTGAGAACATTTGCTATAGAAAGCAGAGGCGTGTTATGGCAGAGTCTCGCAGGCAGGAATCCCTAGAGACCGTTCTCTCCCGTGGCTCTCTCCCCCGACATGGCTCAGCCGGGGCCACAGAAGTCATCAGATACGAAGAGCGACATCGAGCACCACTGCCCCAGGAAAGCCTGTCCCAGCACCGAGAGCTGAATCGTAGGGTGTACAGGGGACACTGCTGGCGGTAGCAGAGCCTGGGCCTCAGTTTGCAGCGTGGTGAGAGGTGGCCCTGAGCCATCTCCACTGCCTTTGTTTCAAGAGCCTACATTTATGTGTTAGTCAGAATTAGCAGAGTTATCTGGGGAGAATAGGCTTGTTTGTTTCCTCTATGAGATGTTAAATGGCCCCTGTCCATATTCGATTCTTTATTTTTTAATCTGTCTATCTATCCACTCTTTCTTTCACTCAGGAGACACTGAGAACTTCCTCCAGAGAAAAAACCCTAAGGTAAAGATAGAGATTCATTCACTGAGCCATTCAAAAACACTTAATAAATGCCATCTGTGTAGTAAGGACAACTCTAGGTGGACCGAATCAAATTCCTGCCCTCGGAGAGCTCACAGCACGGTGGGGGATGGGAGATAGTGATGGAACATTGGTGAAACAGCGAGGGACCAGGACAGGTCCTAGGGTGGGGGCGTGCAGGCAAAGTAGGAGCACGTGAAAGTCAGAAATGGCTTCAAAGTGGGGAGGAGCTGGTCGGAGAAAGCCCGGGGTGAAAGTCGTGCTCTTGAACCT